GGATGTTTCATTACCATGTCACACAGGCTCTGGATATCCAGTGTCCTTCTACCGAGGCCTCTTGAGCCCCTTGGTAAGCCAAGGACATGACAGCATGTCTGGGCTTTCACAGAATACAGCCAGGCTGGGGTCTTTCACGGGCATCCCAGGAACAGAGACCCCAACCCAGCTTCCCTCTAGCTTGTAGGACTTTCAAGGCCACATCATGCGGAAGGGTGCCTTATCCACCGGGAGATAGCTAGCCTGAAGCTATGGAGGTGCAAATAGGCTGCTCTGTGTGACTCGGCTTTTTCCATGGGAGTTATTGCACGATGCAGCACAGGATTCACAATGCATTTGAGGAGAGGTGAGAGGGACCGTGACTGTACAGGCTTAGCGGCTGTATTTGTCACCTCTGAGGGGAGAGCAAGAAGCTCTGGTGTCCACTTCTGAGACTGGGAGCTAGGCATTTATGTGCCTTTAAGATGTAGATTTGGGCCTCAGTCTGTTGGGAAGCTTCATTGCAAGCCATTCGTGGAGGGACAGAGGTCTGAAAATCCTTTCCTGCCAGCCTATGGTGAGACACTGTTATCATTGCTTAAAAATCTCCAGAGATTCAAAGCCAGCATAACATGTTTGTCATCTTCTAACGTCACAGGAGAAGCACTCTAAAGATCTGTTCATCTGCCCTTTCTTAATTGAGCTATTGCTTGTTGCGACCCAAGTTTAACACAGGAGTTCATCCTCTTAAACCATAGCTCTGACCAGGACAGTTTAAGGATGGAATTCCAAATTTCAGCAAATGGTTTATTCAGAAATGAACACATGGGACTGAACTCCTGCAGTGTTTTGCAGAACTGTCCACAGAGCTGGATTCATATGATTTGTATAGTTAAATCCTATAGTCTAAACTTTTATTAAGGTAATATGCTTTGAACTGCAAAAATGCTATGCCTTTATGGCAGTTGGAAAACCCCAAAGTACAAAACTTAGCACCTATTGAAGTTTTTGCCTTAAAAAAAAATCTATTTTACAAGATTAATAAGAAGCAGAAAATCATCTTTTACTTTCAACAGTTCAAGTTAAGAATTCATCACTATGGATTATTTAATGAAAGCTAAAGGTAAAAATGACATGTACATTTGCAGGGACAGAAAGAGACACATCCATCCCTAGGGAACAAAGAGTTTTTTCTGGTTCAGCTTCTGAGCCCTTTCTTCTCAGGCTGCTGGCTAGCAGTTTGTCTGTGGAAACTGAGGAAAAAGAACACTATTTGGAAGAGAACTGAGTTTCTGCAGTGAAAATCGGATGGACACCAAATAAATAAATTTGTTCTATGTTTATACAAATTTCTATTATAAACGTTATTTCTAGAGAAAGGCGACGCTTGTGGCTTCTTCTCTGCCAAACTCTCTCATACCTTAGGTGTACAATGAGTGCAGCCTCTTAGTTATGATGCATTCTCATCATATGAAAACTCAGAGCACAAATGATGGATTTTGTTAGTTTTCCTTTGGCTGACTGGAAATTGCCCTCAAGTAGTTCCAAAGAGATTTTGAATATACAGGTGGTGAGCAGAAATCCTTACTGTGTCGAAACCAGCGATCCCTATCCCTTTCTGTCAGTGTCAGAGAAGCGATCCATCACAAAATGAGTTTGGCTTGAGCCTTTCTGGCTTTGTTATCTGTGGAGATACAGTGCTAAATGGTTATGGCTGAGTCTCATCTGTATGGTATGTACAGCAGAGGAGCCGAAAGAAAAAGCACTGCATTGCAGTCTGTCTTGATCTCACTTCAAAAATAACCAATTGATTTGCAATTTAGCTTTTAAGGTAGGTTAATATGTTAAACTCTGGTAATAATTGTACATGGACAGAGCTCAACCAAAAACTGAGACAAAAGCTACAGATAACCATCTGAATCAGCTTGGGGCTAAATTTACAGAACGCACTTAAGCAATTTTAACCCAGAAAGGTTGGGAAACAATCTGTGGTCTTGAATTTGAGTCCCCAGGTTTAGTTTCAGTGGTGCATATGTAGATATTTGCTCTCATAATAATACACATCAGTGCAAGCTCTTCATTATGCAACAGTGTATGTAATTTTAATGCAGCTCTCAAAACCTTTGCAACAAATTTTTTTGGAAGATATCTAACAGCCAAAACCTCATGTTACTAACATAAGCTTGACAAAATATTTTAAAATTATATGAAATTACAGATGGTCCTGTTTTACTGGACATGTTGTTTATAATGCGAGATAGATAAATGATGTGCTTTTTCACAGCAAAAAAATAAAATGTCCATACATTTACATGTTTTTATTTTAAAGGGGAAATGCTTAAAGCCAGTTACTGAATTATGTTCTTTTGACTGCCTCTTCTCATTAGTGTTACATGGAAAATAAAAACCATAATGTATCAATTTTATGAATGTTAAGTGCAATTGCATAAAAATGGTGTGACAATCGTTATTTGTCACTCAGCTATTCCCATTGCAACTGTGGTCTGTTTGCTACTAACATTTTTTTTTTCCCATGCCAAGAGTAAAATTCTAACTCCACGCTGACCCAACTGAAGGTAAGACACTCATTGACCTGAGTCCTGTTTAGAGAACCAAGGTGTTCAGAAATGATTAACAGCACGTTTCCCCAGTTCATCTTTGGCTCTAGTCAGCTGCTTAGCTGACTGTGGTGGGTTTGCCAAGAACTAATGGCTTGAAGGTGCCATTAGCAAGCAGGTGTAATAATTTTCCAAATACAAACTATACTCTTAGGTGTGCTGGATCCTATAGAATGAATAGAAATAGATGGCAGCAAAATTTTAGTAACGTATATTTATAGATGATATAGAATTTAATTTATTTTGAATTAATTAATTGAATCAATCATTGAATAATTGATTTTCAAATAATAAACAAACTGACACATAACATTATGAAGGTGAAAAAGTGAATTAAATAAATTTAGGGATTCATTCTCAGCTGGTATCTATTAAGGAGCGTATTAACTGAAACCCCTAACACATGAAGCACACATTCCTCCCTCCCCCCCCCCCCCCCCCAAGAAGAATTATTAGAAGCTCAGTTAATGAGATAAATACATAATTGCTCTATTTTCACTTGTGCTTCTTAAGCCTCCACTAGTGGTCACTGTTGTGGACAGGGCACAAAGTTAAACCGACATCAAACACCACTTCTTATGGCTGCTGTTGAGTTTCAAGAAGAGAGTGGGCTCTTTTGAACATTATGGAGCTTTCATTTTCTTTTCTCTATTTTTGTCTACAACAAAATGAACAGATCCCAAATAGGAGTGAGGAAGTGATAAGAGTGATAAAGAAAACTCACGTATTTTGCAGAAACACTCGGAACAGTAAAATTGTTGTTGATGGGCGACTTATATGGGTCCACATCAGGGCTTAAAAAGCTACCACAATATTATTTAGAGAAAGAAAAAGCATTAATAAAAGATGCTTTTCGTGCATGCTCAGTTTTCTAGCTATTGTTTGCTTTCTGCATTGACTCCAAGCAGCTCACCATGGGTTTCTTGCCTTGGTGGAAGATCTGCTCTCCTTGACTGGGTGCTTTCTCCTTAGCACCATTTGTGTGCTCTTTATCAGGGTCTGTTGGAAGGAGTCAGATCTTTTACTTGCAGAAGGGATGTGGGTTCTACAGTCCTGCTCGCTTTGGTTCTGCAGAAAATTCAGTCATGGAGCTGGGAGCACATCTGAACATATGTCAGTGGTCTTTTACAGCTGTCCATGTCACTTGTCACACCCCCAGAAGCAGAAGCTTTTTTTGAATGTGCTCCACATCCAGAAGCTACATCTGTCACAAGAGTGAAAGAGCACCATTCCTTCATTTCTGTCCTTCAGTAAACCCTTAGGGCAGCATGTGACTTGGGCTGAACACTGGATGCATTTGAGGGGAGAAGCAGACATCCAGGACACGCGTGCTCAGTCCTCCACATCCCAAACCCTTCCCCGCGTCCCTCTCCCATAGTGGGAGAGACTCAGGTTGGTGGTGTGGCTCTCACCTATCTGTGTTCTCCACCTGAGCTGGGATAAAAAATTCCGATGAAATTCAGAGACTTCAGTGGGTTCATTTTTACCACTGGAAAGCCCCACTGCCTGATCTTTTTTTCCCTAGAAAAGCTAGCTGCATTATTGCTCAATAATGTGAAATTTGGAAACTGAAACTCTGCTATATTGTATGTAAGTGAAACTTTCTTAAAAAAAGGCCCTTCAGGCCATTTTCCAGAGCACAGGTTTTGGCACCAGAGCAGTGCCATAGCAGTGCATGGCATTATTACCAAAACAGGGCTGCTGTCCCCCCTTCCCTCCTGCTCCACAGTTCCCCAGAACACCCCAGCCACCCTCCCACTCTAGCAGCACTCATCAACATCTCAAAATCTTAGAAGGACCAGGTTAGCTCCTGATCAGCCAGCTAGATTTGGAAGATGCTGCTCTGGAAGACTTGATGTGTAGACAACTGAAAATGGCAATATGGAGGGAAAGAGCTGCTTATGTTTACAACTCCAGCAGCATCTCTGGTGGGAGTTGTACTAGCAGACCTGCCGTGCTTTCTCCAATCTGGCTGGCAACTCTTCAAACTAAAACATTTTAGTAACTCCCTCCCATGTGCTATAAAAGGTTTATGTGGAGAGAAGTAATGAAAACCATGACCATCCTTATTTACTTCTGGGAGGGCATACTTGGAGCCGTGGACATAAAAGACAGCCCTGGGATGGTGCACAGAGAGCGGAAACGTGGGGTTTTTCTAAAAAAACCCAAAACCTGAGGAAATGCTCTCGTATCCTGAATAATCCTTCTTCCACGAGGTGCCACTCGTGGGTTGAGAAGCGCCAGGCCCTCCCTATGCTCTCCCCACGCCGAGCACCCACCCGCGGCTCGCCCGGCGGCGCAACCGCCCGCCGCTGAGGGGACGGCGGCGCCGCCTCAGCCCTTCCCGCCACCGGGCTCCTCCCAAGATGGCGGCGGCCCCGCCCCGCGCGGGCGGTGTCCCGGAGCCCGTCCCCCGGCGGCGGGGTGTATGACCGCGGCGGGGCGGTAGGATCGCGGCGGGGTTGGCGGCAGCCGGGTGCTGGAGCAGCGGTTGGAGCGGAGCGGAGCGGAGGAGCGCCGCACCGCACCGGGTAAGTAAAGCGCGGCGCTCGGCCGTGTCCCGGGTGTGCGTGTGGGGGGGTTCGGTCGCCGGGGCTTGGCCGGGAAGGGAGAGGGAAACTTTCCTTGCGGAGCGCTTCCCCGCTGGGGCTCCGGCCGCTTTTCCGCGGCCATGTTGGGAGCTGGGGGCTGACTGGAGGGGAAGGAGCTCGGCAGGCGGCCGTCGTGCGGGGCTGTCCCGCCGTGGCGGTCCCGGCCGGCCGCCCGTGAGGGCACTGCCGCTTCCCCCTGGGAGGGAGGTGGCGGGGCGGGAAGGACCTGGGGAGAGAAGGGGCGGTGGCGGGCGCTGGCTTGTCCCAGGGCGCTGAGGGGAGTTGCGGGGCCTCGCAAACGAGTTCGCCTTCAGGAGCGGGGGAGAGTTAAAAAAACAACCAAACAAAAAACCAACAGCGACAGCGGTCCCGCGGTGTTACATAAGTGCCCGAAACTCCCCAGCTCGTGACTGGCGGCGGGCCGGGGCGGAGGGCGCTGCCTTCCCCGGCGGGGCCCGCGGGCAGCCCTGCGCCGGAGCCTGCGCCCGCCGCTTCAAACTCCTCGCCGTTCTCGGAGCGAGTCGCCTGAAAAGTCTTGGTGCTGTGGTAAAAAAAAAAAAAAAAAGAAAAAAAAAAAAGACAAAAAAACAGCGGAACTGCGAGTGGTGCGGCTGTGAGCATAAGGTGCTATTTTTTTGTGTGTGAAACACGCGTATTTTGGAGAGGAACGTGACTGGTCTTAAGATACGTGTGGCACATAAGCTGTTGTCTGAAAGCGGCTCGGGAAAAGATAGCCACATGTTTTTCCTCTCGCCTCATTTGAAATACTGTGTGCATAGGCACCGATATTTATAAATGGCAAAACTGCTCATCACGGCAAGAAAGCGATGAGTGAGTCTGCTGAGCAGTGTGTCTTGGCATCGTCTTTGTCCCTGCTAAGAGAAACAGCTGTAGCTCAAGTTTTGACGTGAAACGTCAGTGCAGTAGTTGTCGATAACCAAAACAACCTATTATATCCTTAACCAGAGATCAAGAATTCATTTGCCCATCTTTTGGTTGAATTGAGGGTGGTTCGAGAAGTGTCACCGAGTCCTAACTCAGGCTGTCCGGTGTGCTGAGTAGTTACTGTAGAGGTTGGTGCTTATTTGACAGACACCACCTCTGAAGCTGCAGTGTGCTGAACAGCTTCAGTTCACGTGAGGTTAATACAGTAAGTAGGCAAAGTGGGTCTAAAATCAAACCCTAGAATCAGTTTCAGAACTAAGATTGCTAATTCCTCTTTCTCCCGAAATAAAGAGAACTGAAATACTCGGCTTTCAAGTTCTAAGGCTTGTGTATTGAAATATTTTAGGGATGGCTCTCTGAAAGAAGGGAAGTATTTAAAGATGGCAGTGTGATCAGTGCTGAGATCCTACAGATGATTTGCTTTGTATGCAGTCATTAACATGATGAAAGGAATCGTTTCTTTGGCTCAGAAGGCCATGTTCTTACTTTTAACCTATATAATCTAAACACTGTTGACTAATCAAGTGAGACTTAAGAATCCTTGTGTAGGTAAATGTCATGTCTATCAGCTCAGTTTGTTAAATAACATAGTGCCATGCTGCTTATGTTGAAAAGAGCAGTGAAAGTGAAGCATTGTGAGCCTGAGTCCTAAATTCTTGCTTCTGAATGCAAATCAGCCATGTGTCTTTTGGCATGCCTGTGAGTTTTGATCTGCACAGAAACCCACATAGAGGAAGTCCCTTAAATGCTAAATGAAAACCAGTGAGTAGGAATTTGGAGCTGGAGAAGCTGGATCAGTTTCCTCTGTTGTATCCTCCAGAAGGAGACAGAGTAGTGTCTTTTCACCCAGAAGCAAGCTTGCATTAGGTGCAGTGATGAAATCATTCTTTAGCAAGAGTTGCATTCTGTTTCCCTTAATTTATGGGCTGAGACTTAACTCTAGTATTACATGTGTCCCTGGACTAACAGAAGATCTACCCATAACATCCCGAACGGTGACTTTTAGCTTTCACCATTGTGTTTAATGGATGCAGGAGGGTTTCAGAGAAGTAAAGAGAGAGGAAACTGCAGTTTCAGGGGAGGTGTGATATATTATGGAGCTTGGCACATCTCATTTACTTTGCAAAGAGACAAGTGAGGGCAATAAAGGCAGGGGGCAAACACTGGTTTTGTTACACTTGTGGTGTTTTTGGCACTTGTCTTCACCAAAGAGGGCTAGAGGTGTTAAAGTGAAGCTTAGGGTCAAAGCCTGGCGCACAGATGAGGGAGAGTTGGAATTTTTAATGCTTGCAGATGTGATTTGCTGAAAATGTGTCTGTTAGCTAAAATGTTGAAGTGGTGGTCAAGCAAACAAATGGCATGCAAGTTTTTGTTCTTAAAGGCCATTTATTAGCTGGTGATGTCAAATAAGGAAACCCCAGCATTAACAGTGGATACGTTTCTTAGATGTAAGAAAGCTAGTAATCGTCTTGATTTTTGCGTTAAGAAATTAAACATTACTCTGTACTGCCTCAGGTTCTAATGGTACATTTGTGACTTATTTCAAGCTCTGATAATATTCAAGCTTACTTTTTTCATGTATGTCATTTTTTTAAAAAATAGATGATGCTTGCATATATATTTTACTGCTTTCAAGGATTAATTTAGTAATTTGATGGAAGTGTGATAAACTGGGAATTGTTCCAAAAGAGAATACATAAGGTGTAAAAATAAGCTTTTTGAAATAGAAGTGTATTTAAAACTTTGCATTTGCTGCATAGGGAGAAAGTTGCCTGTTGTAGAATAACTGTTGTTTTCATGATTTAGTGGAGGACTTGTTTTTACAGTTGCAGGGGATGAAAAGCTACTCTGTAGATAGGTGTGGTAGAATGTGTTTGCCATACTATAGCTTATGACAATGCTAAAATAATCATAAGATGTGATGGCAACTGTGTTAGCAAGCAGAGTCCTGCAAATTCTGAGCCACGGGAGTAGTCCTGTTGAAATAAATGAGTTTGCTTGCATGAGAAGTGGCTTGATTGAGAGTTGTAAGACAAAGATTCTCCTTGTATGAAAATAAATATTACTGTGCAGAAGTATTATTGAACAGAAGAGTGCTTCATGTTTTTCAGCCTGCCACTTTAATACTACATAGTCAAAAATGCACTCATATGTTTGCTTTGGTTTTTTGAAGTTACATAAATAGGTAAGAGTGCAGCTGCCTTCTATGTAATGACGGTGTGTTTTGGTTTTTTGTTGTTTTTTGTTTTTTTTTTTAAGCCTACTAGTGATTGTAAATAAGGATTTTAAAAATTATTTGGAAGAGAGTGGCTTTTTTTAAATTGGCATGGTTATGTTTTACAATAAAACAGTGTTAAGTATGTTGTGTATGTAATATAGCAGGACTTTGGCATTTTGTGTAAGTGTAAAAGAAATAAAAACAGTTGAAAGTTAAGGATTTCAAATACAGGAAGGATCTCACTACAACCCCCCCCCCCCAATTCCCGAATGTGGTAGGATGGCACACAATCAGTTAGCTGCTGTGTTAAGATGCAATCTCTTGAGAAGTTGTACTGATTCAAACAGATACGGGGGGGTTGCTAGATAGGGGTGTATCTGATCTTTCTATCAGCAGCTTTAGCTTTCACTAGATACTTCTTGTACCTCAGACATATTATCTAAAGGTAATCGTTTTGCTTTTAAGTACTTAATATGCCTTCTGCAAAAGGAAAAGTTTCAGCATATTATTTGACATTTGCATTTCTAAAGTGTACGCATAATTTGTTAATGCAAATTAATATTAAAGAGTGTACTGTACACGTTGCTATTCAAGTTGTAAGATAGCATCTTTCTCGGAACAGTTGAGCTGTGCGCATTAACTTCAGTGCAAACCTTGATGCAGTTTTCAAAGTTTCCTCTAGATCATGTCATCTTTGCAGCAATAAGGGCCTAAGAGCAAAGGAAAATGGACTGTTGGATGAGGATCACGTGGACCATGAGCCCCTGCAGTATTCTGAAGGCTGTTTATTGCACTCGGAGGACTGGGTTGTGCTGAGTACTCTAATGTCTGTACTCCAAGTGCTTTCCATCTGACTTTAAAATGCATCAAACACATTTGACAAGCAGTAAAAGGAGAAAAAGACCAGCAAGTGCATTTCCCAGGAAGGCCACCTACAATAAGCTGCTGTCATTACAGGGTTCTTTCTGGAGATTACTCCTTTCCTTCCCCTTCTGCGTTAAATTTTTCCTGATTTAGCTGTCAATACATGGTAATGTAATACTTCTGAGACTGATTTTTCAGTGTACTTCTGTACTGAAAGCTGTGTGACAGTGAATTTTGCCCCCCAGCACCCCTCCCATTCTGATGTAGGTCAGAGGCATGAAGGCAAGCAAACTGCCCTTTTAACACATGGATTATGACTAAAAAGCTGGTTACATTGAAGACTGACAAATTCTGTTTGCACTATCATTGCTAAAGCTTTCCTTTTGGCTTTTGTTGGTAGCTGTCAGATGTTGCTTCTCTGGACCTTCACCGCCCACTCATAAGTTACCAAGTAGCAGCATTTGGTATAAAAAAGAGCTTATGTCTGTTGCTCAAGAAAGAGCAATTTAGTGGTTGGCTTATGGATGTTAAATATTGCTGGATAAATAAATTTTAAATATTGCTGGAGTGGCAACACTGACAGGTCCATCACTGTAGCACTTTAGTGTTGTCAAATTTCCTGAAAATCACAACATGTGGATTGATTCCAAGCCCTGAGCTATCTTGTGGCTGCCTGCGAGCCCTTGGTTTCTGCTGGGCTGGTGACAGCCCTGCTGTGCACATGGTTACTGGGGCTTGAGCCTTTTTTTGGTACCACTTTGAGCAACTTCATTCACGAGGTTTAAATGCTAGGGAAAAAGATTCCCTGCAGCCAGCCATACTTCCCCATAATGTATTCTTGCTGGTGAACTAGTGGTAGAAATTGTTTGGCTTTTTTTTTTAATTACTATTTTAAGGAACCAAGTATGTCTGA